TACCCTGTTCTTTCTTTCGGGCTTGACAGGCCCTGCAGATGCTCAATATAATCCTTATGCTGCCTGGTACATGCTATATGACGTGGCTCATAGCCCTTCCCACATCGATCCTTGGTTCTTAATAACGATACCCAGCCTGCCTAACAAGAGGGATAGGAGAGAGAACTACTCCTATTCGCAGGACACTGGACCACCTACTCTAGTGTGACCAGTTCCTGACACATCACAATTGGGTCGTCAGACTCTGACGGCTCAGACCTGACAGCTATGACACCCCAGATCCAGACTTCGACTCCTGACCAGATCAGCAGCAGTCACCTTCAGAGGGTCAGAGAGAGAGAAGGTAGGGGACACACACATGCATGCAGGTTCAGGGAAAGGAGGTGCTTCTCTCTTTTTGAAGATACCACGTGATGCTCCACGACGCTCCGCACGCTCCAGGTAAGTAACTTCGTCACTTCTTCTTCGACCTGCTTCCCCCCACTACAAAAACTCTTCTTCTCTATACCTCCATCACCACTTCTTCTCGCCGGCCTTGATCAGACCAGCGCTATGAGTGTAGCGAGCATCTGCTCCGATACCAAAAATTTGCATGGGTCCTGGGGACCATCTCACGCAAGTGTGTACATGCCATGCATCGTACGCCCACACACAATGAACAGTAGTCTCACAATAGACAAAGATAGAGAAGATGAGGACCGAGTTTCACAGCTTATAATATCAGAAATATGAATACAATTCCCCTGAGTCCAGCGCTCATCAGCGCAACACCAATATCTTGCCAACTCATCAATATGACTTCCAGTGAATCAGTGCTACCCCTGCAGATAGTCTCCAAGTCATCAATGTGGTCACTACTCATCAGCGCCACCTCTGCAGGTCACATCCGACTCAGGTAAGTATCTTCCATAGCCAAACCTTGAATGAACACTCTCAGCCTCAATCCCTTCCTCCTATGATGCATACACACTCTTTAATACTCATGAGGATCTACTCTGGATACTACTCTGGATACTACTCATAGCTACATACTAACCCTCTACTACTAATACTAACTCGCTGGGCAGCTATGGCTGCATCACTTCCAGCGTACAGGCTTCTTCCTCCCTCCAGCGCATCTTCTCCTCCAGCGCTGCTCCTCCTGACTCAGCGCACAAGTGCACCAGCACTCCCACGCATGGCAGCCAGTGGAGATCTAGCGAGGAATGAGGCAGGCAGCTCTTTTTATAGTGCTGGCCACTCCTCGCTGGGTCTGCATTGGCTCAATTCAGCCTCTCCCTTTGTCCCAGACCCTGCATTGCATGTGTCCCAGTACAGTCCCAATGAGATTCAACTGCTGCTGAGGCACTTCGGCCTGGATTTGGACTTGAAAGTCTGGATCTGGACTGACCCCTTGACTTAGACCAGAACTGGGACTGTGCCTACTGACTTCACTTTCGGACAGGCACAACTCTAAACGAACAGACACATTTACTACTTGAACAGGCACTTTCCATTGCACGAACAGGTACACTGCCTACACGTACAGACACACCCTTACTCGAACAGACATGACATACACATCTCCTGGTGAACAGGTAAGTCTTTTGACAATGCCCTTTGCCTTAGATTTAGATGTGCCTGTTGATAGAGAACTTGACTTTTGACCTGTTTTCACGTTTCTGAGCCCTGGCAAGATACCTTTTCACAATGCTTTACTTTTACAAGGCCCGTGCTGCTCTATTATTACAAGGCCTGAGGCCTATATCGGGTAAAGGCCCTTTTACCAGCATAGACTAATGATAATGCTCTTCTTCTTCGCCAACCACTCTCCTCCTCCTTATCTCTTCCCCTCTTATTCAAACAAGAAATAATAATAATAATGTTCAATGGCTGAACCAGAATCAATGTCCAAATACCATTTCTACTCCAGGTACCACATGAGGTCCACCATAGCCATGGCCGCCCTTCTTCCTCCTTCCTCCAAGGCCGAGGCTATGGCGGACAACCGGGGCATCGTCCTGCTGTCCAAAGGACAACAGGAAGCAGCTATGGCTGCTCTAGCTCAGGCCGCCATGCCTGACTCTGCCTCCAAGCTTCTTGGTGTAGCTCTACCCCAACTGGGGCCTTCCTGCTGCAGCGCCCACCAAGGTGATGAAGATGGCAAAACCACCATAGCCAGGTAAGTACCTCTGGCGCTCCCCCTTCCTAGTCCTGGTCTTCTTCGTCCTTCGTGTCCTTGCTCCTTCCCCAGAAGCACTGCTCCAAGCTAGCGCTGCTCCAGCCAGCTCTCCAACTGGTGTATCACCAAACTTGCACACCGACAATGAGGAGAAGCACCTTGCTCCTCCTGGAGATTTAGCGGTCTGCTTGCCTCTTCGCAAGTGACTTCCTAGGCTGCGCGGCCTCCAAGCAACCGGTACCTCCTCCCTTTCGGAGGGAAACACCATTGCAGACTTTGTTATTGCCCGTAAAGGCCCTAGACTCAGACTGGTTGGACTGGTACCCGCGGAGACCTAGCCTACAACTATTGGGCCTTTAAAAATGCCAACTTTTGTCTTCTTCTGCTCGGCCTCGAGTACCCTGCACATCTACCTCTACCTGGTGTGGTACCTGCCTACCTGCTACTTGAGTGTTTTCTGCTGCTTCAAGTGTTGCGGGCCTCTTTCCCCGCCACTTGAGTGTTTTCCCCGCTGCAACCCTCAATGTCACGGCCACAGGTAAGTACCGGCCCTTCGGGCCCTCTGAACGAAGAAGTGCCCTAGCGGGTCACAAGAACACTCAAGCCAACAAGCACTCAGACAGGCATGCAGACCAGCCAGCATGCACACACACAGACTTAGAGAACTCAGCAACAAGTGGGGAAACTATGCAAGGCATTCATTCCATGAGCAAAACTCAGAAATCAGCTGTGTCTCAGTCCGTGTTTGGCAGGTCATTACACCAGCATCTTCTCCACTGACACCTCTGTAGCCAACCTTTGCATCTCCTGCTCTTCCTTTGCATTTCTGATTCCCTCTGCCAAATCCTCTACTGTCTTCACCCGAATAGAACACCCGGTCAGTATAGCTGCATTTGGCACAACTTTCAGTCCAGATGCAGCTATAATTACCAGGTGAAGACGGTAGTCTCTGCTTCTGCAAGGGAATCAGCAACGGTCCGAATGAGGGGCCGGTTCTCGCTCCCAAGGCCCGGTTCCACTACTAGAACCTTCTCTGCGTCCCCTCCTCCTTTCTCCTCTTCTCCTTCTCTGCTTCTTTGCTCTCTTCCCCTGCATCCTCTTCTCCAATCTTTCGCGGTCTTCTCTTCCTGTGCAGTTCTTCATACCCCAAATCCTTTGGCTGTAAGGTCTGTTTCCCAATACGTTGGGCTATCATCAATAAAGTGCATACAAGCCTAGAAACCCAAGGAAAGCAAAAAGTTATTACGGTCTACCACGTTATTTTTCGCTCTGATAGCAAGTGCAAGGAAAATGAGAGAGAGCGAGATGACAGAATCCAGATAGCACAATCACATTGAAAGCAAGAAAGTCCCACAGTGTCCAGAAAGCAGCATTGCACCAATATTACACCAATGGAGAATCGAAACACTGAAACCGAATGTCAATGAGAGCTTACTCTCATCCCCACCAACATACGTATCCAGGCCCTCTCTCTCCCTACTTGGCGCTCAGCGCCCAGGCTACTCCCTACACAGCTACTTCCTGCCTACGAATTGACAATGCAACTGTTGACGTCAGCAGCCACCGAAGTACTTGAAGATGCAGACCATCGCCAATACCAGGTACGAGCCCTCACATCATCATCCTCATCTCTCCATGTCCTTGTCTTCCTCCCACGTCTTCTCCCTCATGCATGAAGACCACCACCACCTCCACTGGCTGTCCAAGCCAAGCCCTGGCTATGGCACTGCCCTCGGCAGTGCCCTGCCTTCTTCCAGCGCCTGCGTGCACTGCCTGGCAGATAGCGCTAGCGCACAGCGCACAGCCTGTGAGCGCACGCTCAAGCAGCACTGCCGCATGCACTGCCTAGTGCCCGAATGCCTCCACCAGTGGCGAGAGGTTTCCTTTATGGAAAGTGCTCGCCCAGTCTGCTCCCTGGCTGGGCCTCGTGTATTTCCGGTAGCTTCCAATCGGGCCAGAGTGTCTGCGCCCAGGCCCATTCAGACAGTGGCCTGGGACCCAATTGGTTGAGCCTGCCCAACCACCCAGGAGTAAAGGTGAGGTTCTCCCTGCTTCGCTTGTGCTGCCTCAGGAATTATTTCTGATTCTCACGAGTATGGAGGATGTAACCAACTGGCGCATGGCAACTGTCTGGCGCCCACCAACCTTTACCAAATTTGACGAACTCAGGCCATATTGAAATTCAGGGGGCCCGCCTTCACTTAGGGCGGGCTCATGCTTGCTGATAGGGCCCTACAGGGCATGCCAAGGAGCCAACTCGCAACAAGGCCTCATTGAAGATCCATGCCCACATGGGGTTTACAACAGGCTCTGCTTGGGCCCCTCAGCCTGGTCTCATAGCCCTATAAACAGGTATTGGCACATATTTGCAGGCCCGCCTTCACTTAGGGCGGGCACGGCACTTTCAGACACTGCCGAGGAACTAAATCCTCGCACAAGGAGATCGTGCACAGTCATAGTCAGGCAGTTCTTGCAGTTCTTACAGTCTACCACATCATTTTCCGTCCCGATTAATGCTGTGTACTCAAGGCAGCTGGGCGCCCTGGTGCACATACGAGTGAACTCAGTGAAGTAAAGTGTAAAGGGTGTTTGATACCTGTGAAGTCTTGCAGTACCGTAGCATCACCGAACAGGGCTGGATCAGATCAGATAACACACTTGCTATGCATACATGGAACCACTAATTTTCATTTATAGAATGCCTCACATACGCCGACACAGGGAACACTCCTCTACTTCAGATTGCATACATGGAGGTTGAAACACATGAGCATTTCCTATGCCAAGGACATAACTTCCACGAGTAACTTGCAATGGAACAAATGGTCAAGATTCTCACCATAGAGTGGGATCTGAATGGAATGGGGTTCCCATCCAGATCAAACCTTCCCAGACGAGGTCCTACTAAGTAAGCACCTGCATCAGGATGTTTTGATCAAGATAGATCACCAACCAACATGGATCAGGGCAAAGAACATTAGGGAGGAATAAATGGGACAAGTTATGTCTTAATTCATTGGATGCACTGACATTCCTTATCCCTAATGACCAAACTGCAACAGCGAGTCGTGCAAGGTTAGGCACTTAGGTGACAGATGGATATACTACCAAACTGTAACAGAGTGAGTAATGCTAGATTAGGCATTTAGGTGACCGATGGGAATACTACAATGGTAGGGAATATTGCAATCAGACTCGCTTTCACTTCCACTTCACATACATGCAAACAGATGGAGATTCACACTGGCGCAGGGCGCCCATTCAAGGCTTAGAGATATGGAAATCAAGAACACAGTTCAGATGCAAGTTCACTTCAACAAGCTATGGCGCATCGGCGCCTGAAGATCCCAACCTTCGTCACTGTGTCTAACCCCACTGCTCACACACGCTCACTCTGGATCACCCTGAATACCACCACACACACACGCTTAATCTCACTTCCTCCTACAGCAGCTATGGCCGCACTACCACTACTGACTATGGCTACGATCTCCCTTCAGCCCACTTCGTCTTCGGGCAACCTGCAGACCACCTTCACACAAGACGCTGTAGCAGCGCTTCCGCATGGCTTACGCAGCGAATCAATGAATGGCTGGGCGCTGCCTCTTGATTTATACTTCTGTAGCTCGTTGGTCTGCCCCTTTCCCAGGCCCTTGGTGCACACAGTCCCACACGGTACTTGCTTGACTGGACTCTGACTGACTGGGACCGGTACTGCTGACTGCATGGGTTTGCACTGCCAACTCGATGCAGTTGCACTGCCGACGTAACGCAGGTCGGATCACCACTTGCCCACTTGCCTCTGACTAAACGTGAGACATTTTGAAAGGCCACTTCCGCACCTTCCAGAAGTCTGTGGACTCGGCCTTTCGAGTACTGTACCAGCTACAACCTTGACCTTTCAGGACTGTAGCAACTACGACCTTGACCTTTCAAAATACCTACAGCTACGACTTCTACAAAGCTGTGACTCCTAGTCGACAGACCTACAGATCGAACCCCTACAACTACTCAGACCTACGACAGACGACAAACAACTACCAAAACACAGGTCACGGGTTCAAAACACTCGGGTGTCGACTCGATACTGTACATGGGCAAAGTGAGGTCTGGGGATTGAACTCTTCCCGCCGGCCTAAATTCGAGGTCCTCCGAGAATACTTCAGTCTAAGGCAGGACCTTTACCCTTCTTATCTCTTTCGTAAGCTCGGACTTTATCAGGAGCTGTCTCTAGAAGTTCTGTTCACGTGAACCAGCGGTCGTCTTCTGGCTCTTGATAGGCAAATCTGACATTGTATTGCTTCTGGGGACGACCTCTGCCTCCTGTCCTGAAGACATCCTCGCCTACTATCCCTTCAATGTCATATCTTCCATCCATATCTGGAGGAATCATAGGTCCGCATGATGGAAACTGTTGACTTGTAATGCAAGGCAACAACTTTGACGCATGGAGCACTGGGTAGGTGTGGAGGTGTGCTGGAATCTCAATAGTATAGGACGGTCCATCCTCTCCGCCCTTGACTTCTAGGACTGGCCACGGTCCTTTATACTCGGGTAACAACTTCTGTGAGATGTTCCCCTCAAGAGCAAATTCTTGACTTGACCCAGACTAAGTCGCCTACTTGAAACTGTGAGGGGTGACGATGCTTGTTAGCTTGCTCTATGATTCTGTGCTGGGCTTCCCTGAGGTTGTCAACAACGGTAGCTATCTCTTTCTCGTGCTCTATCGCAAACTCCTGCGTACCGGGCGGTAGCCTCTGAATCTGATCCCGGTTAAATCCCTCGAACAGCTGCGCGGTCTGAAGGACTTGTGCAATTCGTTGGGAGTGCGACACGTAGATAAGTGCACGCTATCATTGTAGGCGCTGACTACCTTTGGGAGCATCTCATCCCAGTTAATCTGATCGGGCCTAATGTACATTCTAAGAACTTGCTGCAGGAGCTTGTTCTGTTCAGTCTGGCCATTAGTCTCAGGATGACGACCAGATGACATTAGCAACTTTGAGCCATAAACTTTCATCAGCTCCTGGCAGTTCTGACTAGTGAATCTGGTATCCTTTTGCCGCTAACTGTCGACAGCAGTATACCATGCTCACTGACCTAATGGTCAAAAAACTTTTGAACTACTAAGTCTGTGTGTGCCTCTGCCGGCAAAATAACAAAAACTGCGTACTTGCTAAATCTATCTCCTATGACCACAACTTGACTGTTGCCATACCTACTCTTGACCTAAGTATCCATAAAGTCGATGGACAGAATCTCCGGGTCTGTCTGGAATAGGCAGGGGTCTGAGAAGACCAAGAGGGACGCACGTAGTAGTCTTGTTTCGCTGGCAGACTTTACAACTGCGGACATACTCTATGCAGTGGACCTTCATACCAGGCCAGATGTACGCGCACATGAGGTTGGCTAGTGTCTTTTGCCAACCAAAGTATCCCTCTGTAACATGGCATTCCCCTAAGATCAAACTACGGATCTCTTCACTGTTAGGAACGCATAGGCAATCAACTACATTAGTCTTCTCGGATAATAAGTCATCAATAGTGCGGTAGTTTGGCTCAAACTCTGGGACCTCCCTAACTCTCTTGAGGAGATCACTATAGATAGGTCTTGTGCATATGCCTCTCTAACTTTTTGCTGCAGGTCTCTCCCTATATCCAGATAGTGAACTATTGCCCCAAAGTAATCAGCTCTTCTACTCAAAGCGTCCGCTACTACATTGTACTTCCCTTTAACTGGCTTCAGTTCAAAGTCATACTCGTCTAACTCTGCGGCCCACCTAGTAAGCTTAGGTGTCATCTTGGCCCGAGTGTTCAGCCACCTTAGAGTATCGTGGTCTAAATAGACTTTGAAGTGCCTCCCAAGCAAGTAGTGCTTCCAATGATCTAGTGCTTGCCTGAGACCGTAGAGTTCTCTCTCATAGGTTGATGTCGCCACCTTCTTTGAATGCATCCTGGCGGACATGAACTCTACGAGGCTGTATCCATTGCCATCGTCTTGCTGTAAAACAGCACCTATGCCATACTGGCTCACGTCAGTGGTAACAACGAAAGGCAGGGACGGGTCGGCTACCTTGGGTATTCTATCAGGGCCCACTTTAATCTTTTTAGGGCAGCTGTACAATCTTTGTCCCACTTCCAGATTGCCTTTTTCTTTAGCAACTTGCGAAGGGGTGCAGCGATGGTGGAGAAGTTCCTGACGAACTTCCTATAGTAATTAGCTAGGCCTAAGAACGACCGCAACTCTGACGAACTTCCTATAGTAATTAGCTAGGCCTAAGAAGTTCCTGACGAACTTCCTATAGTAATGGCTAACAACAAAATCGCAGCGATTAGAGATTGGCCAACGCTGCGATTTTGTTGTCTTCAGGGTCTAACGCCGTCTCCGTCTAAGACGTGGCCCAGGTACAAAACCTATGTCTTGGCCCATTCGCACTTCTTTGCATTGATCTTGAAGTTAGCTTCTCTAAGCTTCTCCAAGACCTGCCTCAGATGGCCCTCATGCTCCTGGAGGGTCTTACCGAACACTAGAATATCATCTAGATATACTACAAGAAATCTAGATATACTACAAGAAATCTATCTAACCACGGCCTAAACAAATCGTTCATGCAGCGCTGGAAAGTCGATGGCGCATTGGTTAGTCCAAAGGGCATAACTATAAACTCGTAGTGCCCATATCTAGTCCGGAATGCTGTCTCGTACTGATCATCATGATGAACCTCTATCTGATGATAGCCGGACTTTAAATCTATCTTCGAGAAATACTTGCAGCCCTGCACCCGGTCTAACAAATCGTCTATACGAGGCAGTGGTTCTGCATTCTTCACTGTGATAACATTAAGACCCCTATAGTCTATACACATTCTAAGCTCTCCCTCTTTCTTGGGGACAAAGAGAACAGGTGCTCCAAATGGGGAGGAACTGGGCCTAATCCAACCCTTCTCAAGGAGCTTGTCTAACTGTTTACGTAGCTCCTCTAACTCCCTTGGGGACATTCTATAAATCGCTCCCTTAGGAGTCCTACTGCCAGGCTCTATCTCTATGCGATGCTGGATCGGCCGCGGCACTACTCCTGTAGGCGGCTTAACTAGGTCTGTATATTTTTCCAACAACTTGGCAAAATCAGGGTCTATGGGTGTCTCCTCCTTAGGCTCACTGACTGGCCTCACGTAGGCTACAAAAACTTGTTCTTCTAACTGCTGCTCCTTTACCAATCGTGTGAACGTGGGAGCACTAAGGCAGCAATGTGCCAGGGTGTTGTCTACTCCAGACACATCAAACAGGCGAGCAGTCTTAACTTCACCTGTGGGACTAGGGAGCCTACATTCGTGCTCTCTCAAATGGAGTGCGGCCCCTGCTGCCTCTCCCCAGTCCATTCCTTGGACTATATCAAAAGGAAGATTGTCTTCTACGAGGCGAGTCCGGTTTCTCCACCTTCCCATCTTTCTCTAGGTGAAAGTATGCCTGGACTCTCTCGACGTAATCCTCGACTCGCATATAGTGTGATTGTCTGCGAGGATACTGACTATAGGGTCTTCTAGTTTTTGGACTTTTAGGTTTAGCTTTAACTTCTGCAGCGCTTTCCTACTAACATAGTTGCGGGTGGCCCCACTGTCTATAAGGGCCCCTACTCGACCTCTAAAAATCTCTACATCTACTAAAACTAGTTGTCCTTTGGCATCCTTCTTCATCTGGGCCCAGGCAGGCATCCTCTCCTTCAACTCTTCAGCCACGCCTGTGAGGGAAGTACCTAGAGAGACTCTTACACAACCAGTCTTTGGACAACTGTCTAGGTGCTGGCCAGCAACCTCTGTCGTAGGATCATGTGATTTGGGATTTCCTATGTGGTGCGCGCACTCTGCTCCACATGGCCTAGAGGTAAGGGCAGTTGCGATCCCTACCGGCGGTTGCCTT